GTTTCTAAATATTTAATTGTGTCTGGGGACCAAATTGCTGTTACATGAGATGCTGCTTTTCTTGAGTATTAAGCTTCATGTCCCTGAGTGAAATGAGAGCTTCTAGAGTTTGCTGTTTTCAGCTTTGCAGTCATGAAGTATTTATTTTCAAGCATCATCCAAAACTGGAGGCTGCTTTCTTCACACCATAACTAGGATGATATCCTGAAAGGACTAGAGAAAAACATGAGGTTGATTTCCCTCCACAAATGTATGAGAACCTCTGGAATGAGACCAGGATGGAGAGATAGGAGCTCCTAAACTCAAATTCTTTCTCAAACATTGATTTTCTTGGTGGTTCTAAGTAAACCCATTAAAATGTCTGTGCATTGGTTTCCTCATCTATAAATCAAAATGCCAAGTTTTTCACCTACTAGTGATCCTGGGAGTTCTGAATATTCTCCTTCATAGAAGGAGCTTTGACAGGAACAGTAACAACATTGCACATAAAAACTGAAGCTAAAATTGCCATCTGGCTTTCCTGAAGAGGCAGTATAAGTATTCACTGGATGGGAAGATCCTGGGCTCTGTACCTCTCCAGGGGACCTGAGACTCAGCAAGCGCTGGGGTTTCTTCAGGGATGGGAAGAGCCAGGAGCTTGGCTTAGGTATTTGTGTGCTGTGCCTTTGTTTCTGTTCCTGCACTCAGCCTCTGGTATGTGCTGATGGCTGGTTTGGGCTTTAAACAGATAGAAGTCTGAGACTTAGAAAACTGGCTTTGCAGTGTGGTGGTGGTGATGGTAACTGCTAAATGTGCTGGCTGTGTCTGCTAGGGATTGGTCAGAAAAGGGTAACATTTTCCCATTAAGGTGATCCATGACTCCATTAATTCAAGGAAAATATCTGCGCTAGTTTGAAGATTCTGAGTTGTGCTTCTATTCAGGTGATTTTTTTGCATCTTGAATATGTGAAGGTTTAAGTCCAAGTGTGGAATTTTGTACAAATCTTGGATTTTTGAAAATCCCAGAATTTTATGTGAATGAATTAGGAAGTAAATAATGGATTTAAATAAATACTAACAACAGGAATGGAAGATTTGATTCCTTAAATGTTCTGACAGATTCTGATTTTTGTATATCTATTTAGTATTAACTGAGTTAAAAATTAAATCGTGCGAATCATACAAAAATCAGTAGGTTTCAAACATATCCCACATATGTTTTAAGTAAATGTTAATTTATGCAGTTGCATTGCCACCCTTGAATAACTAGATAATCAATTAAATGAAATATCAGTGCCTATATACAGAGTTTCACATAACAGAAAAATCAGGGTTTGATCTATTGCTTCATGTAACATGAACCAAGGATCCCTGATGACTTTGAGTTGGATCCTAAGGTTAGTTTGTGTGCTGCTCTGCAGAAGCTGCTTGGTACACTACCACTATTTAAGGAATACAGAAGATATAAATATCACAGAACCTTCAAAACTGTACAGCACAAGGGTCATGAGCTAACCAATAACAAGTGGTTCACTGCTCTGTGGTCTTCCAAGTCACCAGACCATGTCTGAAAGCAGAAATACTGGGAGACCTGTGGCCTACTTGGGGCTTTTTCTCCTCATTCATTGTGGAAAGAACCTATATCCCTTTCCCCCCCTCCATGCTCTCTGGTAATTTTCAGGTGCTTTTTGACCACAACTATGGTGTGCATGCTAACAGCTGGGACAATAGGAGAGGCCATGCTTGGTAAGAAGCCTTTCATATGGTCTGGCAGAAGCTGCTGTAGCTTGGGGGATGCATGGTCAGGTTCTTTAGTGCAAGTACCAGGCTCTGACTGCTGAAACCTTTCATGAGACTGCCAAAACACATGGCCACTGGTAAATTGTTGAGGAGTCAGCAATTTGGAAAATACAGTCTTACAAAGTGTGTTACCTTGGGAGCTGTGCTTATGAGATGTATCATGGACAGGAATGAATTTTGATTTCACAGTGAACCCCAGATATTTTAGTAAGTGGTGATCTGCAAATTTGAATGTCTGTCCAGAGTAGCCACAGGAGGAAGAAAAACCCCATAATAACACAGAAATTGCTGACATTCTCCCAAGAACAGGAAGGATACAAAGGTGGATAAAGTACAGAATCCCATCTATGATGAGGGCCAGCTGCACATGACTGGAGGAAACAGGCAGATGACATAGCTGAATGCACCCTATGTTAAAACCAGTGGTACAAGTAGGAGTAATATCCCTTTGAACTTACTCTGCTCTGTTTTGATTAGTCTTTAGTGGTTGCCTTAAATTACTGTTAAGATTTCTAATCTACTCTTTGCCTTCCTCTTTATATTGAGTGGATCAGTGAGATTTCATCTAATTAGTTGAGGAAGTGTAAATGAGCCCTATTACGATGTCTTGTACTGAGTGAACAATCAGCCTGTGTGTCCTCCTTCACAAATGTGTGTTCAGTGCTTTGCACATCTTCAGCTGCAGGAAAAAGGCTCACTCACAATGAGCCTTGTGTTTGACTCCTGCCCTCAGACACTCGCTCTTTGTTGGGAATTACCTGCAGGTACATGGAGCATGTGTCTAACTTGCTTGTAACACCTTCTCTTCTGATGGATCAGGAGTGACCAGGCAGGGGAATTGTCAGTGTTGGGAGAGGGTTGTTAAGTGCTTGGCTCTGACTTCCAGAACTGCAGTCAGTAGCATCCCTCTGGGCTTAGGCTGGTTTAACACTGATACAAGCATAAACACTTATGGGTGGTAGTTAAATGTATTCAGAATATGCTCAAAAAGCTAAATAATTTGGAAGGCACCTCCAGAGGCTGTGTAATCCAACCATTAGCTCAGGGAAGGTCCAGTTAGTTCAGACAGCTCAGGACTCTGCCTAATTAAGTTTTTAGTATTTCTAAGGGTGGAGATTTCAGTCTCTCTGGGCCATTCCTACTATTTGACCATCCTCAAGATGAAACATTTTTTTCTGTTTAGATGAGAATTTTTTGTATTCAACTGCATCTGTTGCCTCTCATCCTTCTACACAACTCTGAGAAGAATTTGAACCTGTTTTGTCTGTGTTCTTCCATTAAGTCATTGAAGAGATCAGTAAGGTTTCCCTTGAGTTGTCTCTCCTTGAGACAGAATGAACCCAGTTCCCTCAGCCTCTCCACACACATAAACTATCCTAGTACCTTGAGTATGGTAGCTCTTTGCTGGACTGACTCCAGTATTTTGAAGTAATTTTCATATGAGGGATATGGTAACTTATGAGATCCAGCACTCCTGATGGAGTGCTGGACAGGGCACTCCTGGTGTGATCTCATGAGTTTCCATTAGGGGAAGAATCACTTCCCTTGGCCTGCTGACTGGATTCTTGCTAATGCAGCCAGGGATGCAGCTGGCCTTTGCTGGCAGGGCAGGTGCTGCTGACATGTGCTCAGCTTGTCTGCTGGGACCACAGGTCTTCTGAAAAGCTGCTTTTGAGCCAGTTGGCTCCCAATGAGTGCTGCTGTATGAAGCAATTTGGGTGGCTGTTTTCTTGCAGGAGTATCTGGACACATGGCTTGCTTACTGAAGTGCAAACACACATTGCTTCTGCAAGAGTCTTTGCTTAAATCAGGTCTTTCACTTGAAAATGTTATATGTACAAGTTGCAATACTATACTGTTTTTTCACCATTATTTTATGCTGTGAGAACACAGATTTTACCATGTAGTTAGTCTCCAAGAATGGCTATGGTAACGAGTATTTTCCCTTCAGTCTTGTACTAATAAATTCTGGCTAATCCTTATTGGGATTACTAAATGGTACAAAATGGAGCAGAAAAGTACTAATAATACCAATGAAAATAGCACCAACATTTGCCTTATGCAGTGATTTGTAAGCAATGATAGCTTGACTGCTTGTGCGATCTACTGCTCAGCCTTGCTTTCACAGCTGGGAGTCAGGAAGGTGCTGCAAGGTGGGATCTATACAGACTCCATTGCAAGTACCATTTCCTTCCAGCTGGCACCGACCAGCTCTCCTCCAAGCCTTCCTATCACTCTTCTGGATTTCTTCCACGGGATAAAATCAGGGTATGCAGCTGGCTCAAGTCACATAAGCACAATACTGCAGCAGAACTGGCTTTGAGAGACTGAGAGCCCAGGTACTGGGAAGTAGACCTCTAGCTCACACAAAGGATGTTCATGGTATTCAAACACTGCTTCCAGTTGCTGAGAAATAAGTGCAGTGGCTTTCGTTATTGAACATATTTCTTTTCTTTGTGAGGAAATATTAAATGTCATGTGGTGTGAATAATTCCCCCACGTTTATTTTTGCTGTTTGAAAAAGTTGTGCTAATCTAGTACAGATTTCCTGGAAAAGGTGATAATACAGGCAAAGTTCTCAGATGTGTTTACCAGCGACATTACTTATATCTATGGACAAAATGTTTTATGTGGACTTTCCTCATGCTCTCAGAGAAGGAATCTGTAGGCCCCCTCATGTGGCTCTCTTGTTTGGTCTTTCATTCAGTTGAAAGAAAGGGGCAGCTCTGTTAGGATTACCTTCTGGTGTCTTTCTTAAATTTCCTGTCAGATAGGTTAATATAAGTTCAGATGGCAGTAGTGCTGAATCTGAATACTGAGTACTGATCTTTGTGAAATGTTGTTTTTTTTTAATCGACACATATGTGGTGGTTGTATTGTGAATAATAGAGCTTTCCATCCTTCTCCTAAAAAGGATGTGAAATGTCTTATAACAATCCTTAAATGTGCTTTTCCTAGACACCACTGCATGGTGTTGAATGGTCCCTATGGAGACAGTGCTGCAGTAAAACTAAAAACACAGCACTGAAATTCATCGCTACCGACGACCCTGCAGTTAATTCTCTTGGTAGCCATATTACAAAAAGAGCTCCACAGTTATTAGCATGCCTTGATATTTAGCTCTACAGCTGACACTGCCATGGGATGCCTAAACTTCGTGATAACCTTAAATCTCTTCTTGGCTGAGTGCTGAATAGACCTTTTGTTTCCCTTCTTTGCAGCGCGAGATGAGAACATGGCCACTTTCCGTGGCTCCGAGTACCTTTGCTATGACCTGTCGCAAAACCCCATCCAGAGCAGCAGCGATGAGATCACGCTCTCCTTCAAGACCTGGCAGCGCAACGGGCTCATCCTGCACACGGGCAAGTCAGCTGACTACGTCAACCTGGCCCTGAAGGACGGTGCTGTGTCCTTGGTCATCAACCTGGGGTCTGGGGCCTTTGAGGCCATTGTGGAGCCGGTCAATGGCAAGTTCAATGACAACGCGTGGCACGACGTTAAGGTGACACGCAACCTGCGGCAGGTAATGGTGAAGGGGAGAAAGCGCTGGGGAGAGTTTTGTCTTGTTGGGACAGGCAGATGGGAGAGGGTAATGGAGAAATGGGGAAGCTCAGTGCTATTGCTACAGTTTCTCCACCTATTCTGGATCTTGGTGCCTAAAGGACAGTGAAAAAAACGTTAGTTGATGGGAATTTATCCCTCCGGCAATATCTTCATTTCCAGTTTATTAATTTTTTTTTTTCCCAGTTTGATTTAATAATAAAAACTTGTGACATAACTTTACTTTCATCTCCCTTTTCCTTTTTTCTGTTCTCCCTTTTAAATTTTATTATTTTCTTAATTATTATTCAATCTTATCAGTAATATTCTTGTTGCATTTAATTACTGTGGGAATAGAGTCTATTGCCAACAGCCAATGCTCTACACCTCTCTCCTTTTTCTCTCAGTTTTGTTAATTGGTTTAACCATTGCCATGATGTCACAGTTCTAATTCTGAAAGTCTTTTGTTTTTCTTTTCCTTTTCTTTTGTGTGTGCATATGAGTGTGCAGGTGTGCAGGCTGGTGGGTATGTGTGTAACTATTTTAACTTTATAGCTTTGGAATTAATTAGCTGGAGTCTCTCTGGGTCTTCTTGATTCTCTGTTCTTCTTTTCTTTTTGATTTTTTCCCCTTCTTTCTATAATGAGATTCTACTTTATTTCTTGTCTCTGCCTTGAGACTCTTCTGTTTCCTGTGAGGACTGGAAAAGTGGAAGGATCAAAAAACCCCATGCAAACTCAATCAATCCAGCACCCTACAATTCCACTTTGGAAAAGTTTTTCTGATTTTACCACTGTAATTTTGCACGTCTACATGCAGCTTTTCATAGCAGACAACTATATCAGGTGACGTATTTGATAGTAGGCTAGTCTTAAAATCCTGAAGCCTTTCTCATGAAATATAAATTCATACATAAATAGATAAGATAAAATTAAATAATTTTCCTCTGAAAGCTGGTAAATATATCAAGTCACTAAGGGCCATCTGCTGCATAATAAATGAGGTTTACATGGTTAATAGGAGCTATTTGATGTCTTGCTGATTGGTAGAGCAGCAGAAGTAGCTTGTAAACTAAGATTTAAAATTAAATTAAAAATCAATTTGTGAATACGTTACCTGTTTATTTTCTCATTAATGCCAATATTAGCACAACCTTTAAATAGCTTTATATAAGTTTCTACAGTGTAATTTGTGGTAGGATTTTACACTAGCTAAGAGCAAAATCTCTGTGAGTATAGGATAATCAGTGCCAGGAATCAGAATAAGTCTCTACTAGTAGAGATCAGTGGATAATTTTTCTCTTATCGGGAGTTCATGTCTCTTCAATATTTGGGCTGGGGGCTGAAGATTTTTATTTTTATTTCGCATGTAAATGCCTGTATTTCTACATGCTTAGGATGGCTGGGTCTGAAAAAAAAAAAAACTGTCGTCGAACTTTAGTAGAGACTACAGAATTCTTACCTATGCAGAAATCAATCTGTTTTCAATAGTTTATATAGAGATGAAAATTTCATTTCTTATGCAGTGGATGGGTCTTAAGGATCCTATTTTGTTTAACCTTTCCCATCGGTACAGTAGAGGGAGATGCACTAACTGGTCTAGGTTTTTCAGTCTTGAAAGGTCAGAATATATGGCTTTATTTGATGTGATTTTTAAAATTTATTTTTAGGTAGTTTCAGAACAGCTGGTCCTTGAATATCTCAGTAGAGCTTACTGGCCATTTTAGTTAATTGTACTTTTTCTTTTTCATTTGAAATAAATTTCAGTGGGCAAATGTGCCAGAAGCAAAATTAATCCTTGCTTCATGCCAGGATTGGTTTGGATCTTGAAGATGCAGAAGGTGAAGGGTCACAAACAACACTGTGCATGGGAACCTGTCACATTCTTTTTCTTAATATTTTAGCTAATGATTTTTTAATTGGTCCACAGAAGTGCACCAAGAAAATGGAAATCTGGCTATGGCTTTTCATTTTGGATGAATCCAGGGCAGTACTTTGGTGATTATTAGAAAGTAGGTAGTCCCTTGCCAATTAAACAGTACTGTAAAATCTTAAGCCTCCTGATCTATTCACTGTGAATGTTTCTAAGTGATCCTGAATTCTTAAAGGGTCCAACTTGACTGGGCAAGAGAGAAGATGTTTTAATAAGATGGATGGGCTCTTTGCAAAGAAAGGCCTGTCCTCAAATCAAATTACATTTAAGTAGCAGAAGTGATTTGGGGTCCATTTCTATAGTTAAACATGACAGAATACAGTTCAACCAATAAATATCAATAAGGCTGGATTTTTTTTTTAGTCATCTTTTCCCTGGATACTTGCATTTTAACTTTTGATCTGTCTCAAAATCAAGACATTGACCCAGAACCTGAAGCTGCCCAGATATTGGAACTGATGAGTCCTTGAGGCAGAGTAGTCATGATAGTCCTAAAAGTTGTCATTCAATATAATTTTGTATCACTTAAATAATTTTGTATGAAAAAGATTATTGGTTCTATGTGTTTCCTGACTTAAATTCACCTGTAATGTTGCAGTATAATATAGTTCACTAGAAAGTCTTGTTTCCAGCTGGGCTCATGTTTCTTTAAAAAAACCCATTCCAAAACCAAACATAAAACCCCAATAAAATATATTGCCTCTGAATGTTGAAGCTTTATAAGAAAATCAGTAGCCTCCTTGTAATTGCTTGAAAATATTGCACTGGAGGTAGATATATTTCTCTTTAACATGAACTTTAAAAGCAATAATTTAGACATTCCAAGAATATTATCTAAATCTAAGCAATTCCAGCTAAATGGACTATCAGCAGCTTCAGGATGCCATTTAATCTTTTCCTCTGTTTTTTTGGGGGCTAAGAGAAAGGGGAGGAGGATTTGCATAATTTTTTGGCTGTTTCTAGAATTAGAGTAGAACTTTAAATAGTTGGACTTTTGCCTAGTGGTTTTTGGAATTGTTAAATATTTTGTAGCTAAGCTGGGAGAGTACTAAGGGCTGCTTTTTTTTAGATCAAATGACTATCACAGCGGTTAATCTCCTTAGAGACAAACCAAGTGAATCCACAGATTCCCTTGAGTAGCGATTGTTAATGTCAAAGCAAATCTCCTTGTTTATTTATCTTATTATTTCAGTTAAAACTAAGCCCTCTTTCTGCCTTGTGAGAAACCTTTACTTAGCAATAGGATCACGGCTGAATTTTGCCCTGGCTTTCAGAGCGTGTTTGGGGCAGTGTGGCCTGGTGGGAGGACAAGCAGAGGAGACTGAAGGTCAGACTTCCTGTGTCTGTCTTCAGGTCTGCTGCTGACACTCCATCTTGTTTCTAGCATGCTCTTCTCCCTGTCCCATACTTCAACTCCCTTGTTTTTAAAAATAATTCACTAACGCAACAATTTGCTGTAAGACTTCCTTGCTGAAGAATTCAGGAGTTTGTGCTTGTTATTTCCAAGTACAGAGTATTATTATGATTTCATTCCCATTGGCAAATAACCTTGGGACCTCATGCTCAGTGCCACAAAGTCTTCAAAAACCTATTTCCTTAGTCAGTGCACAACTCTGAAGCCTGCAAGCAGACGGTTTTTACATGAGACAGTGTAGATCTTGCTTGTATAATTTAGGATAATTCTTGCCAACTTCAATCACAGGGACTTGGAGTCCGCATAGGCTGCCCTTCCCTATAAACACTAAAGCTAGTCACAGTGCAAAATCTACTGTGAAGATCTTTAGCTCCTTAACTGCTAAAACACAAAGCAAAGGGTCGGTTCTAACAGTTGACATCTGCATGCTTGGGACAGGTTAAAAAAGTTCTGCTGAACCAAACTGACAGGTAAATTCTCCTAGCTCCTGTGTAATAGAGATGCAGTCAAATAGGAGGGGTGCTAGGTCCTGTCAATATTCAATCTTCAACCTGCACACAAGGAACACAATTCTTCCTACACAATTTCTTGACACATTTCTTCCTACAGTAGGAGAGGTTCAATTCCTGTGTCTTGGATGACAGAAGTGAGCTACAGGCAAACAGCCAAGCACAGGCACTGTTATGTGCTTCTCCTGAAAGTCACAAACTCAGCTGCTGTAAAGAAACCTGCAGACTGGGAAACTTGGAAGGAAGACACAGAGTCTTGGACTCATCTTCAGCTGTATCCTCCAGCCAAAGGAAATACTGGCCTTGTGATATTCTGCAGCACTTGAGGGTAGTGAAGCTTGGAAGAGGAGCTGGTGTGGTGGTGGGTGGAAGAAGGGAGTCATGGCTGGCTTTGTGCTGAAGGGGCAAACTGTGTATTCTGTGTGTATATCTCTAAGCATAAGGTTCTTGTTTGAGGGAAGCACCTTGATGAGCATTTGAAGAGTAAGTATTGCACTGTTTTAACTTTGCTTCAGATCTGGATAATGTGTATGAGGGTTGAAGTTAATGACTAATACCAGGGTGGGAAGAGTAGGCGGCCCTCTGTTTCTTTACAGTCTAAAAGGCATGGTTCCCCAAAGAGTCCTGGTCATATTGTCCTTTTCCTCACTTTGTGTGTCTCAGGTGCCCCACGCCTTTTTTTGAAAAACTAACACTAGATCATTCATGCAATGTGTCATTTTTACTAACCAACTAATGTACTAACACCCTAACGACTCATCTTTGCTTTTAGTTATTTTAATTAACAATCGTTCTGTTCACGATTTTTTAATTTCCTTTCTTCCCCCTTTTCCGCAAAGCACTCAGGCATTGGACACGCTATGGTAAACAAACTACATTGTCTGGTAGATATCATTCTTATTGTCTCTTTTTTTGGGTTTGCCGTGTGTTACCTGCCTTTTCCTCCCCCTACCTGCTCTTTTCCCCCTTCCTTTATACTTACTGCTTCCTTTAATTTTATTCTAATTTCATTGAAAAAACATTGTTTTCCCCCTTCTTATTTTTTTTTCCTTTCATTTCTTCTTTTTGAATAGAAAAATGAGCATCAAAAGCAACTAACACAGCTCTTCTGGAAGTAGGGTTTGGACATTTCTTTCATTGTTTTCTTCACCTCTGTCTTCAGTTCTTTTTCTTTTTGGTGATAAATTGTTGGGGTTTTTTGTCCCTTGTTTTTGACTTCAGATTTCTTTCTTTTGCTTTTTTTGCATTTGGCTTTTTTTCTTGGCTTTTAGTTTAGTATGATTTTTTTACTGTGAAGGTTTCTAGATCAGAACCATTGCAGGGCCTCTAGTCCATGGTGGTGAAGGCTCTCTTTTTCTCTCACCCTTTTGTTCTGTCAATGGCTATTATGGGCAAACTGGCCAGAGTTGTCCTCTTTCTCATAATTTTCCCCCACTTCCCTCCTTCTGCTTTTTTCCCTCCTCCTCCCTCTTGCTCTCTCTCTCACTTTCTCTCTCTCTCTCTGACCTCTACCTGCGTGGCCAACAGGAGCTCAGCCGGTTGTTTGTTTCAGTACACACTCTGCATGGCATGTCCACGTCTGGTGACTCGCCCGTCTCCTCCTGGCCTCGATCTATTTTCCTCCATCTTCCCTTGCAACCACTAACAACATCAAGCAAAACACATCAAATTCACTTCCTCCTCTCCCACCCCTTCCTTCTGTCACCCGTCACCCTCCATGTGTTTGTGGTTAGAGATTTTGGGGACATTTCTGTTTCGTTTTGAGTTTTTTTGTTATTATAGAATTCGTTTGGTATTTTTATTTTTGATTGCATGCGAGGGTGAAATGGTCATTTCTCCTTTTTTCTTCTCCTTCTCTCTCTCTCTCTCTATTTTGCTTTTTTCCTGTCATCTTTCTGGACCTCAGATATATTGGCATGACAGGTCAAAGTGCAGTGTGTGCACGCTTTATAGCTCTTTCTTTCTTGCTTTCTTTCTCATATCCACTTCTATTACATTTGTTGGTGTGCGATTGATTTATTTTGATTTATTTTATTTTGATTTATTTTCTGCTTATATTTTGGTTATGGGTTAATTTGAAAATTGTTTTCTCAGTTTTTTTTTCTTTCTGTTTTTTTTGTTTGTTTGTGGTGGGTGGTGGGTGTGTGTCTCTCCAGGTACATGGCATGCACATCCATAATGTATTGAAAGTGAGTTCCCTCTTCCCCTATCCCTGAATGCATGACTGTCAGTGTGCCGTGAGCAAAAGAAACTTAAAAAATAAAAAATACCAACCTCGTCTTCATTAGTGTTTTTTTTTTTACTAACAACCATAACTAACTGTAATCATTAAAATAAATTCTAATTAATCATAAAATCAGCTAATATGAGAAATGTCTTTCAAGGACAGTTATATTTTCTGGCCTGAATAGATGGAAAGCATCTGGATGGATAGGCTGCTGGGTAAGCCTGAGAGTGCTGATGCACCAGAAAGGGAAGAAGCAGATGCTGAAGCATTTCTCTGTGGGAAAATCAGACCAGAAAATAGAGCTCAACTTAACTAAAAAAAAAAGCATACCAAATCTCAACAAAATCCTTACTAAAACTGGCATAAAATTGTAGGGGAGGTAAGTTGTTCTGTTCTGGATTGTAAGGTCATTGCTGGGATTTTCTTTGTCCATTGTGTCCCTCAAACAGGTGACAATCTCTGTGGATGGCATCCTTACCACCACGGGCTACACACAGGAGGACTACACCATGCTGGGCTCAGATGACTTCTTTTACGTGGGAGGGAGCCCCAGTACTGCTGATTTACCTGGGTCTCCAGTAAGCAATAACTTCATGGGCTGCCTCAAAGAGGTAACTATTTGAAATTAATTCTTGTCTCTGTGCTTTTGCTTTGCTAAAGTCATCACTCTTTTCTGCCTTACACAATTGATTCTTTCCCTGATGCCTAATTTTATACTGATAACTGCAACAGCTCTGTAAAGATAAACTTGTCATTCAGTTGGTCAGAAGGCTGGAAATCTCATGAACTTAAGGGAAAAAAAATCATACTTCTAGTGCTTGGATAATAGAAAAAATACTCATGGTAGTAGAAGAGGTTTCTTCTCTAAGCTGTTAGAACTTCAGAAGAAAGCATTACTATCTTCTAGGCACCATTTATGATGGCAATAGCCATCATAAAAAGACAAATGGCCTTTGATTACTATGTGGCATTATGAGAGGAAAAAATCATAATCAGAAGCTTATTTAGAATACTTTTTAAGATCCTGGATTTCACCTGGGAGTATAGTTAGATCTGAATTTTCCGGGAAGATACAGAAATAGAATAAAACAGAAAAATGAAGGCAGAAGGTAGCATAAAAAGTGTAAATTTTGCAAGGACAATGCAGCATGAGGGTGTGTCAGGGAGGTGTGCCAATCACATGTCATGTGGACATGAAGTATACAGTGTGTTATATCATCATTATTGAGAGATGCCTCTTCCTGAATTAAAGTGCAAACAAAACCATATGCTGAAGTCAATAGTATGGATTTTATTGAACCATGAAATGTGAGGTAGAGAGATAAAAAGAAGTAGAAAAGAGAGAAAAAGAGAGACAGACTAAACAGAAGATAGTCACCACCCATGTCATAGTGGTGTCCCATTGGTCCTTCTTCACCCTAGGCTTCTCAGTGGTGGGGGGCCTGAGGTCACTCAAAACTTTTCACTGTTTATATATGTTTTCAAACAAAGGAGTTAATGCTCATTGGTTACACACATCTTTCATTCTATTGGTTAAATAATTCCCTTGCTTCCAATGTTAATTAGTTCCATGCCCAGTCTTTCTGTTTTTTGCAGTTGGTGGGTTTCTTGAGTTAGTGGGTTGTGAGTCAGCAGTCAGAATCTCCCCCTGATGGAATTACCTTTTACCCAGTCCAAGCTGATTCAGCATAATTGCTTCCCTTATGGCCCATAATTTCTACATTCTTTATGTCCATTATGAGTTATACATTCTGCTCTCACAGCTTTGTTTACATCCCCCTAGGCTTGAGATAACAATTGGACAATAGAATCACCTCTATCTTATCTCAAGTTCCTGGTCGTGGTGGCTTAATTTACAGTCCAAGTTCCGGGTATCCATGGAGGCATATTTGGGGAAGGGATTGGGAGGTGGGGGTGGGGTCCCTCCGTGGTCATAGGTGCCATTTGTCCCATAACTTGGGATCTTTGGGATCTTTTTTTGACCAGTGATATACAAAATTTTCCACAGTGGGAAGTTTTGTCTGAATGCATTACCCAGGATGTGCTGACCAGATCTCACCTCTGCCTGGAGTTAGCACTATCATGTCACTCCATCCTGTGCTCATCTCATGGCAAAGTCATTCTGTGGCCTTAACAGTATTTGAGACAGACAGCTGTGATCTTTAGGTCCTTAAACTGGGTTGCTAAGTTGGTGCACTTGAGTGGCTGCATTGGTCAGAAAGAGCTAGCTGGTTCTGAAAACTCTGTTGTCATGCTTTGGCTGGCTGCATTTTCCACATAGCATTGAGAAAATTCAAACATGGGTAATAGAGATTGGACTGCCTGGATAGCAGCAGGAACCAAAATAGTGATCCTTGATAAAAAAATCCTTAGACAAAACAAAAGATAAGTTCTGTCCAAATCCCAAACTTGGTACAGTGTAGTTTTGATGCTGGCTTACAGTCACCTTTTGTCTTCTTTCTTCTCTCTTCTAATGCAATTTGTGATTATCACTGTGATTAATGGGGATACAGATATTGATGTCTCCACAAAGTGTTATAAAAAGCTTGCATAGGAGTCATGGAAGCAGCAGTGCTGAGCTAGATGTTCTTCTGTGGCTGTAATTGCCTTGACAAGCCATCATCCTACTGATGCTCAACTCATGGTATCAGGGTTTGTATGTTATGTGTTATCTTCCTCTCCTCTGGTAAGGAAGAGTTTTTAGGGTCTGAAGCTGCTCTCCTGCCTGACCTCTGGATGAAAGGGGTACACATATGCTACAGAAGAGTTTGTGAGCATCTTATATAGGAAATGAAACTTTGCTGATTGAATACAAGCTGCCATACAGAGATCAAATCTATCTGGTTATATTTATAGAGCCTTGAGTCTGATTTTCCTGGGCGCTGAGCATCCCGGTTTGATTGAAATCAGGAGGAGATACAGCCTCTTAGTGTCTCTTTAAATCAGGATCTAAATTTTATTTATGGATGCTATGAACATAACACTTAGCAGAGGCCATTTTTATGTGTGCTTTAAGTCAAGCCAATGGAGCAAAAAAGCAGTGACAAGAAAATCTTCAGCAGCTTTATTTATATAATCATTTGTATTCTGTTAGCTTGCACAATGTGCTAAGAGCCGCCAACATAGTCATCCCAGGCTCATAATGTTCTGTGCGAAGGAATACCCAGGGAACCGCTTAAGCATGAGAGGAAGAAAACAGATAATCAAAATGTGCTTTGTAATCTTCACTTGACTAGGCAATGACAGGAGATGTGTATGAACAGATGTCTTGACTTGATGGTTGCTTTAGAGCTATGGTCTGCTTAAAAGCAACCCACTTATAGCAGTGGTCCAGTAATGCTTTCAATGAGCTTTGATCCTGGAGGAGCAGAACTGGGTTAGTGCAGTGCTTGTGTGCTTATCATGTGTCTGGTCCCAGAACTGGCTACGGGGAACTTTACTTGGCTTTCTGTGTAGCTTGTCTGTAGGGGGATAGAATATAAGAAAATAAAGATAATGCAGAAAGTAATCTTACTCTTAAGGAGTTGCAGCTGGGCCAATTATCAAAGATTAGGAACAGGCCTGGCTTTAACAGGCCACAGCTGTAGCCAGTGAGAAGAAGAGTGCTATAAAATAGTGGGTTGGCTGGTTGAGAAGGGAACTGAAGTCAGTTGGCCACTTTGTGAAGAAGAGAGAGTCAGTGCTCTGAGGAGCTGCCTACGAGAAACACTAAGAAGGTATGAAACTTTTGCGATAGGAGACCAGGGTATGGAACCCCTGCAATAACATTTGTCAGCATATTTCATAAATCTATCCCCATAGCTTATGATTCAAACTTACATTTCTTTTCTCCATAGCCAAAAAGGATGCTCAGTCTCTTGTTACCCAGTACTGGAGGAGCTTGGATTTTTAACAAAAATTTCCTAAGCTAAGAAAATTAGTTGAAGTGGTAGGGTAGACTATTACAAAATATTATTCCTTTGAGTTTATGCTTTCTAGTAGAGCAAAGCTCTTCTTTCATAGTTAAGTCCTAGCTAAGTAATTGCTGATACCAGAGACACAACACACCCCTGAGTGGATTGCTGTTTTTAGTGGTGGAGAATGTCCTGCCAAGCCCTGTGCTGTTCTCTTGAAGGTGTTACAGCAGAATGGTCTCTGCATTCATTCAAGACTGGCTCTAGGCGTGTGTTACTTTCCTAGGAAGGTAAATGGGTTTTTGCAAAATTTGAGGTGAAACTTTCACCCTTTCCTCTGTAAGCTCTTGTATTTCCTCTAGACTGCATCAGTCTGAGAGTACACTGATGGGGCTAACAGGGCTCCCTGAGTGGCTTGTTGCCTTCCCACTTCCTCTGAGAGGACATGCAGGTGCTGAAGTGGCAGGGGGCAGAGTGCCTGGTGACCTCCTCTGCCCCTTTGCAGCAGGAAGGGACTTCCCCACTCAGCCCAGGCTGGTGCCAGGAGGAGGGGCAGCTCTGGCAGGGTAGGTACTTCATGTGAGCTGAGTGTAAGCCTTGGCTAGAGGGAAATGTAGTGTCTAAGAATGTGTTCCTGGCAAGGAACTAAGAGTCTCAGGGCTCCTCTGCTGTAGTATTTATATAATATTTCCTAAAAGTAATCTAAATACTTAATTATCTAGATAATGTTTTCTTTAGGTCAGACAATTTCTGACCTAATGGTACCTCCTTTTACCATAGAATAGATCCCCTCATGTCTCTTCTTTCCTTTGGGGCTATAGGTTTTGACTGAACAGATTCCACTAAGTTGGTAGCAGTAATATACCTAAATCGTAAATACAAGTATTTAATGTGTAGTTCAGGTTGGGATTTTTCCTCTATTTTTATCAGAGTGAAAGTGTTCCCTATGTGTGGTGAACCATGTTTGTTTTGCACTTCTCCATAGCCATCCTGGCAGTATTGCAGTATATCTGACATTGTAATGAGGCAAGGAGACTGGAAAATAGTCATACAGGGTATGCAAATAGGGTAGTGCACATACATGAAGTACAGACATTGCATGGAATCTAAGTTTTTTTTGCATTGAATACAGTTGCATAGAATCTAAGGTTTTTTGGACCTTCATTCTTAAGATGAATCGTTCTAGAGAAAATCTTGGAAGCTGGCACATTTCCCATCATGGATGAAACAGATGGAGATGGGATAGGAGAAGATACAGGAACACCTCTTGAGACAATTGAGCAGAAATAATTTTAATGGGTGTCAAGGAAGGAAGGTGTAACAGTGCTTTAACAGATAGTGATTTTTAAAAAGGGAGAAGCACTGACTGAAGGTGGAAAGGGAAGAGACTACAATAATGGGTTGAATGGAACTTCCATGGCCAGAAAGGGTTAGGACAAGAAAGGTAACAAGAAACAGCTGTGTTTTGTGTGTAATCAGGGGCTTTAGGGAGGAATTTTTAGTAATTAAGGATGGAGATGGAAAGTGGCAGGGTAGGAATTTAGCTGTGTGGGCAAAGAGGGGAAATTGGTATTTCAATATCCAGTTGCTAGGGAAGGCAGAGAATCAGAATATTTCCTGGGGTTAGGGAGCCAGACACTGAGATTTGATTTACTTGGAGCGGGACTTAAATGGTACAGATGGAGATGCTTTAGAGGAGCCTAAGGTGGTCCCTATAG